TCAACAACTTCTCGAAAAACCCACCGCTTTTTCGTGACTTCCAATGAGGAAGCTTAGAACTGCTGATTATTGTCGCATGTGGTTGACGACTGCACCATCCCACATCAAAAATCGATGCGAACGTACGGGATCAGATCGCGTATGACCTCCGGGCATTCGCCCATGCAATTCATTGTAGGGTTTTTGGCATTGATCCAAAAAGCCTCTAGGAGTTTTCGCGCTGGTGTTTTGGACTCCTGTGCAAGGATATTGACTTTTACTTCAAAATCGTCTCCGCTATGCTNGAGATAAACTTTCTATCGCGGTAGTGATCAAGGGTCTTGAGAACGCCGTCCGAAAACGCGCGGAATTTTATGTCAACTCCATCGTTAGGGTCCTGCTGTCTAAAGAACGTTTTTGGGAAAGGAGATGGTGGTAGTGTCGCCGCTTCTTGATTTTTATCTCTATTTGATGTTTCTTGCTTGGCCTGATAGCGGAGTCGATCTTGAAGAAGTAGACAGTAAATAAAATGGCTAAGATTCTGATTATAACTGAAGCTGGTACATCTTGTAATAGTTCCCAGGATCGACTTTCTCTTAACCTCGGCATTGGAATATGAATGAGTCGTTTTCTTGTTCAGCAATCGCGAGGTTTTTAAACAGCATACATTTACTTCCATGGAGAAACACAATACAATACAACGCTAGCTGACGTTTCGGCAGTATCGCCTTCTTCAGAGCCTGGAAGGGTATGGTGATATACAATCTACTAGGCCAAACGCTTCAATAACACTTACAAAAAGACGAAAGACTCTTTGGTAATTACACGATCAACAATTTCTCGAAAAAACCCACAACTTTTTTCGTGACTTCCAATGAGGAAGTTTAGAACACCTGATTATAGTCGCATGTGGTTGACGACTGCACCATCCCACATCAAAAATCGATGCGAACGTACGGGATCAGATCGCGTATGACCTCCGGGCATTCGCCCATGCAATTCATTGTAGGGTTTTTGGCATTGATCCAAAAAGCCTCTAGGAGTTTTCGCGCTGGTGTTTTGGACTCCTGTGCAAGGATATTGACTTTTACTTCAAAATCGTCTCCGCTATGCTTTTGTATCCTATGCGTTCCCAGTGGGGTGCTTCGTCTTAGTTTTCGTTTGCCATCTAGGTGTTCTTTTATACGGATACACAAAGGTCTGCCCGTTTCAAAGGTGGACAAAGGCGGCAAAGGTCTCGTTCAATAATTCAAAGCATTTGTCCATCTCCTCCTGCGTAGAAAAGACGACAAAACAATCATCTACATATCTGCAGTAGAGTAGTGGCCGGAGATCGAAAAGAGGACATCGCCAATTAGTTCGCAACCGCCTGTATGACCGTCTGTGTGAAACAACAAATTGCGTAATTTTCCCTTACGGCAGGGTCGGTGATTGCATGAGTTCAGGTTCGATATACCTGATCGCTTGTAATAATTGCGGAGATGAATATATTGGCGAAACGGGCAGACCTTTGTGTATCCATATAAAAGAACACCTAGATGGCAAACGAAAACTAAGACGAAGCACCCCACTGGGAACGCATAGGATACAAAAGCATAGCGGAGACGATTTTGAAGTAAAAGTCATTATCCTTGCACAGCAGTCCAAAACACCAGCGCGAGGCTTTTTGGATAAATGTCAAAAACCCTACAATGAATAGCAGGGACGAATGCCCAGAGGTCATACGCGACCTGATCCCGTATGTTCGCATCGATTTTTGATGTGCGATGGTGCACTCGTCAACCACATGCGACTATAATCAGCTGTTCTAAACTTCCTCATTGGAAGTCACGAAAAAGCGGTGGGTTTTTTCGAGAAGTTGTTGATCATGTAATTACCAAAGAGTTTCTCGTCTTTTTGTAAGTGCCATTGAAGCGTTTGGCCTAGTAGAATGTATATCAGTATACCCTTCCAGGCTCTGAAGAAGGCGATACTGCCGAAACGTCAGCTAGTGTTGTATTGTATTGTATTTTTTATGGAAGTAAATGTATGCTGTTTAAAAACCTCGCGATTGCTGAACAAGAAAACGACACATTCATATAACTAAAGCCTCAGCTTAATTGGGTTCATTGCCGATTTGGGCTCTCCAGGTCAATCCTGTTGACGGGTGATTGCTGATGACAGAGATCGATAGAATTAGCTGAGAGACAGGCGAAACGAAGGATCCACATGGTGTGGTGGTGGAGGCGTTACTCCCCGTAAAGAACAATGGCGCGTTCGTTCCCCACCGTAGAAACCTGCGTTCCGGAGTTTTGCAAGTATCTCAGCATCATTGAAGTTATATTTCGCAATATACCCTGCCGTTAAAAGGAGTAAGCAGTAAATAAAATGGTTAAGTTAACCATTCTTCCATTTTAGTCGATATGTTCGTCTTACGAAATGTCTGGATGTGAAGAAAACTCCGAAATGAACTCAACACAGGTTCCAAAATACTTCAAAACGCTGACAACAACGCACTCGTATAATGGGACCACACTGGCACACAGTAAATAGGCACCATGTATATCGTTTATACCTATAGCACGATAGAGCTAATTGTTTTCTATAATTCCCCTGTTCTCGCACATCCTAAAACACTCTAATTATTGAAAAAACATTTTTTATCGTCAAAAAGCCAGAAATTTTGCCTCCGATGAGAAATTGCTCGTTATCGCTTGGATCAAGCACGAAGTACCGTAACGGAGCGTTATGGGTTAATCAGGAGAGAGAATTTCAAAATAAAAATGACACGGCAAATAGAGATATGGAGGGCTTCTATTTATTAATAAGATGGTACTTATGCAAATTTTTTTAATCTGTGGCAGATCGTCAGTGATTTGTGTCTGTATGCATTTTAAATTTCTTCTTTCAGAAATCTTACTGGTTACCGTCAAGTCAAGCCAAGAAGAGCGTTGAGTTACAGGAACCCGATGATGCCGTTTCAAGCGAATTGGATCACGCTCGAATTGAACCAGAGCCTCATTTAAAAGTATGTGAGATTCTAGTGAATTCTTTTCTCGGTGAAAGAAAAACAATAAGATACACACACAAAAGTGAAATAGTACCTACTTAGCTATCTAAACGGCCAAGAATTCTGCACGTCTTTTTCCTGGAATACTTGACAGTCATTCTAGGGCGTTCTCAATTGCTAATTCGAAGTAGGCGTTAGCCCGAATGAATGGAAGGCTTCCTTACTACCTTTCTATTTCGTCGACTGGTAGCGATTCTTGGGGATACTTAACCGTCTTATTGAACACGATGTTGCATTCTGGATTAATCCATGTGAGAATCTTAGAGGTGTACAGTTTACGGCCATCTGCCGCAAATGACACAGCGTCCATTTCTAGGCTGATGAAACGTTTCTTTTCAACTTAGCTGTTCAGTTCATAAGCGACATGGCTGTCATTCGGGTTCAATTATTTGAAAATGAAAATGTCCGAAGTCCACAACCACTTATGGTTTTTCATCTAAATACACATTCGTTTGCGATAACGTGACGAGATTCTTCCATTTTTTGGTGGTCCAGGGTCTTACATGTATATTGATTGCAGTTTCTCTGCTGTCTAACTTGGATTCATGGTGTTTTCCTTCGATTAATTTGTCTATAATGATAACGATGAAGCATTAATGTCACCATACTCGTGTTTAAGATGTGAACATCTTCTAAGTTCGTTGCAATTTCATTATTTGATAAACTGTCGCTGATCTAGGGAAACCAAGCTACTGCTTGTTTCTTACCTATTCTCCCTCGTAGACCAGCCTACCTCAAATTCATTATTTTCGAAGAGCTAGGATCTTATTGTTAGGCTAGCGAACTTTGCTACATGCTTACTTTAAAATCTAATTGTGATTTCATATGCTAATAAGTCTTTAACGGCAACAGTGTTAGCGTCATGCGTAGTGGATTGGTTTTCTTAGTTACAAAAACTGCGATGGAAGCACAGGTTCATTCCACTGAAAGGGTCTACCAAGCATGGAAGGAGTTCAGCTTTTCCATCAGGAAGCCCAACTGAGAACGAACGTGTCGCATGCATAGCTGTTATTCCAACAATAACAGTCACTATCAAACAAGTAGTGAGAACCGGGCAAAGTCCTAACTACACTTGCAATGCAGAAAAGTCCGAAGGAAAGAGAGCATAACTTACAGCCACAATGTTGCTGAGATATTTGCAAAGCTCTGGACTCCAGGTGTCTGCGGTAGCGAACGAACGCGCTATTGTCCTTTCTGGGGAGTAACACGTTCACCACTGAAGACAGGCGAAACGAAGGCCCAGAATGGTGTGGTGATGAACGCGTTACTTCCCGGAAAGGACAATAGCGCGTTCGTTCCTCACCGCAGACACCTGGGGTCCAGAGCTTTGCAAATATCTCAGCAATATTGTGATTGTATTTCGCTTAGCACCATGCTGTGAAAATTATAGTAGACAGAAAATAAAAAGTAAAACAGAGCAAAACTTACTTACAAGCCGAATGGAGATTGTGGCTATTCGAGTATTGCAGTATTATAGTCTCTTTAACTACAAACACATACAATACTCCAATAATTCTGAGTGAATCGTTATACTTAAACTCTTTGAGATTTCTTAGTTTAGGCAACAATTAGCACTGTCAATTTGTCGAAGACATACGGCACGTCATTCTTCAAGAAGCTCTTCGACTGTCAATTCGGTAAACTTAGTGAGAAGAAAGCTGTCGATCATCTGAGTCTGAAAATGTATCATGGTCAAATCACGGCACTCTTAGGTCATAATGGAGCCGGAAAAAGCACAACATTTAGCATGTTGACAGGTATAATAAGTGATGGAATGTATTTCTATATTATCTAGGCTTTTGACGTTATAAAGTAACCCTTAAATTTCTCGTCAAGCAGAACATTATGCGTTTATTCACACAAACGATTGAACAGCAAAACATCTTTAATATGAATTACCAGTAGTGTAATGAGACTGTTTTGGCTGCAACACAGTGTTTTATATGTTGTTAGCTAAGACCGATCTCTTTAAGCCGTAATCGTTAAGAGAGCTGCGCTCATTATTGAAGTATTGAACTCTCAGTGAAAGCCTTCAGCAGTTACTTCCTGATAAAATATTTTAAAGAACGTGTATGAGCCTGTATGAAGAGTTCTGTTAAAGATGAAATTTTGTGAATGGGCTTAAACTTCTGCTAATATACAGGTGGACGCAACTTAAATCTTTCTGATCTATGATGGACACATTTTCAGGAGTTACGGCACCGTCGTCAGGCACCGCCTACATTGATGACTACGACATTCGCACGAATTTACCGCAGATTCGCAAACGAACTGGACTTTGTCCGCAATATAATATATTGTTCAATTCATTAACAGTAATAGAACATTTGGAGTTTTTCTGCAAGTTAAAAGTGTGTATTGTTTCTTTTGTTTTTGAATTGGATGTTTACAAATATGCACTCCCAAGATTTTCGAATGCTTCTGAAGCAAAAAATTCAAAACACAGAAAAGTTTCCGGCTCCTTCTTTAGGCAAAATTAATGAAATAGACAAGACTGAAATGCAGATTGCATTGTTAAAGAACTGAGCTACTTGAGCTTCCTGTGCAGCCCGTCTTTTGCTTCATTCTTCAGTCGACATTTTCAAAAATCGTAAGAGCAGAACGAAAGCAATCTGTGCGAAATTTCGCTCAAATAGTTTCATTTATTTGTTAACGAAGCCTTGAAAACTTTCAGGGTCGGGAATATTTTGTAAAGGAGGCTGTAGATCTTTTGAAACGACTGAAAATCGACTTCAAGATGACTTCAAGGGCTGGTGTGCTTTCCGGTGGACAAAAACGTAAACTATCGCTAGCGATCGCTCTCATTGGCGGATCTGAGGTATACGGTGATGATGATGGTGTAATGTCGCCACATTATAAAAATGTTTCCTATAAGTCCATTCTTGGCATTAAAATATTTTTCGGTACCATTTGAAATTTCAGCATTTTAGAGAATGTGAATGGATGCAAAAATGTTTAATAATGCATTCCCTATAATTATTAAAAACAAGTAGCTAAAAATGAGAGACCGATCACAGTTAGTAACTTGAATTCCTGCTAAAATCTCTGACCTATCACTTCAAAAGTAGTTCCGGTTCTGTTGTTTATTCGATTATGTGTCGTCCAATTGTGCAAAATCAGGAAAAATACACTTGTTCCTATGTCTACTATCTTTTCGAATTAATTGGTTTAAAGTTGTAAACGAATTGAAAATTTGTTGTTAATGGGACACCAATTTTAGGTTAGTTCAATATTTAAATACTTTTATGGGTCGGCTGGCCTCACGAAAACTCTTGCAAATGCGTTATTTTCCCTGGAGCCCAAAAGATTTGTGCAAGGGTGTTTCCTTGCTTTTACTTTAGACCCTCGTCGAAGCTTAGAGATCGCAGTACATCTTACTGCCTCGCCACTTGTTAGCCAATGAGACAGTGATGATCCATGGTACAGATTTACTCCTGGCTTGGTTTGTCGAACTTGTTATCTGATTGGGTGACCCTTTCGGAGAGTGTGAGAAAACAGCTCCCCTACAACTTTGAAACTTAACAATTACGAACAGCAGCTTGCTATAGGAGAGGCGATTAAACCATTTAGTGACAACTTCGTGTTATATTTACGTTGAAATTTATTAAAGGATAAAGGATAAAACTCTCGGCGTTGACCAATTCCTAAGGGTTGCGTCACGCATTCGACTTTATTAAGCATCGTTGTAGATGATTGAATGCATAACCGTCCTTTACAAAGACTCGTGGAGGCCTACCTATGTATCAAGTCAGTGCTGTTATCCCCACAAACAAGTCTGGTGTCAATTTGCGGTCCGCGGAGGGATGGAGGGCTCGGTGGACGAGGGGCGCCGAGATCGATCCCGCCTGTACTGCGGTGCGCTGTTATTGAACGATGTTTCTATCACAGTTCTAATTGCGCATCATTAGTTAATGTTTATCATTACTATACAATTATACATGATAAACTAGCCAATGTGCATATAATCATTTAACACTACAATTCGCAATGATGAATGAAAGACCAGCTCGTCTTAAACGATAATTCCCACAAATGGAGACGAACTACCACAAATCATCTTACGTTCAACGTTTGTTTTCAGATTGTGATGCTTGATGAACCAACATCGGGTATGGATCCGGGAGCACGTCATGAAACCTGGACCCTTCTTCAGGCAGAGAAAAGCAAAAGGACGATTCTGCTAACGACACACTTCATGGAAGAAGCTGATCTATTGGGCGACAGGTAAGGTAAAATAGACAAAAATTGATATCTTTCTTTTCAACTGTTTAATTTGTAGGATCGCGATCCTTGCTCACGGGCAGTTACAGTGCTGTGGATCAGGCATGTTCTTAAAATCGCAGTACGGTGAGAATTTTACTATGTATTACATCATAATTATACTTGCTCAAATACTTGGGTGGCCGTTCATCATTCCTAACCGTTTCCATCACAGCATCGATTCTTCATTTCACTGCTATTTCTGTTTGTCGCTGCATTTCTTCGTGAGCGATTTTCATCCTTTTCTTTGAAAACTAAGAAACCTTTTTATAATATAAATGTTTCTCAAATGGTTCCCAAATTCCAACCTAGGCTTCGAGAACAGTTACTGTTTTCCAGGACCCACTTTCTTTTAACCTCGGCATTGATTGATAATTCGATATTTTTCTTCAATAAGCAGACACGAGGTTGTTATTATAGAATTTATTAGGATACGGTAGCTGACGTTTCGGTGGTTTCGCCTTCTTCAGAGCCTGGAGAGGTCAAATCGAAATGCGATCTACTCAGCCAAACACTTTCATAACCCTAGCAGATAAAACTTAACAAATAAATTTGCATGTGCATAAGAAACAGCTTCATTTAAACACCTACCGTTTATTTGTTGTAAGTATTTAAGTTAGTTGGTGGATGGCAGCCGCACAGAGTAATACATGGGCGAGGACTGTGCCTGTGTCAAGTCACTGGATCAGCCTCAGGTATAGCGCCAGGTCACGCATGATGACAAGACACTCCTCTTTGGCGGTTCATTATTGAATGTTTTGAATTGATCCAAGACGCTTCAAGAGTTTTGCGCGCTGATGCTTCTGATTCGTGCGTGAGGATAGTGACTCCTACTTCAAAATCTTCTCCGTTGTGTTCCTGCATCCTATGCGCGCCTAGCGGAGTGTTTGGTTTTAATTTAGATTTACCGACTAGGTGTTCTTTTATGCGGACGCAGAGCGTTTACCTGTTTCACCAACGTATTCGTCCTAGACAAATTATGCAGTTTTTCGTTATACATAAACGGTCATATAGGCGGTTGCGAACTAGCTGACCTCTTAGAGCATCGGATGGTATTTCTATCACTCTTACGGAATTCTCTAGACTGGCCTTTATTAAGTAACGTTTTATAGCTGAAATTACTTCGTTTAGAATAAAGGGCAAGAGGAACGAAGCCTTGTTTTCGTTAGAATAATCGCTCTGGGGCGTGGATTTTCCCCTATGCCTATGCCGAAGCTACAGTTTCGTAACCATTTGAAATGGCTATTCGGTGCGCCAGTTTCGAGGATTCCTCCCTCTGATCTCTACCTGTGCACACGCTGGCAGCGGTTCGAAACATATTTCTTATAAGCGCCCTTTTAGTGTATGAGGGATTAGAGGAAAGGTAATGAACCACTATATTCTTACTGCTTGACTTTCGATACCATTTTGTGTTGTAGCCGTTTTCGTATAGGTTGATTTGAACGTTTAGAAATGGAGGCCAGTTTTCTTTCGGTTTCTCACGGGTGAATTTTATGTACTCTGACTGCTCGTTCAATAACTCATAGCATTTGTCCATCTACTCTTGTGTGGAGCAGATGACAAAACAATCATCTGTATACCTACAGTAGAGTAATGGCCTGAGATCGATTACTGGTGCTTCCACTTTAGACATAAAGGCAACGGCAAGGGTTGGTGCCAGTCGCTGTCCCATTGCCAACCCCCTAATTTGGGCGTAATATTTCCCAGACCATCTGAAGATCGAGCAGTTTAAACAATCCTTTAGGAGGACCATAAGCTGCTGAAACGAAAAGCCATACATGTCAATTGCTCCTTCATGTTGCTCAAGAAGCTCGCGGATGGCTTGCCATTGCGGAGTCGTATTGAAGAAAAACATCGAGATACTGTTTGTCTAGACACATTTCCCATCCAAAATTCAGGAATTTAAAATTTACGGAATGATCCATAATAAACTCAGTGAAGGCATCTTCGATCTTCGACAAACTCGGAAATTAGAAGGAACGACTCAATTATTACTTCATTGCAATCAGAATTCATTATTGCTCCTTAATTGGTAGGCTAGTAGAAGCAGGACAAAATTTTTGTTCAAACAAGGGGAACATAGCCGAATAAGGTTTCTACCAATCCACTTTAGTTTATCATTAAGGTATATATGATTACTACGTCATATCATACTGAATTTAAGTACGCGTGCAGCGCCGTGGTCGCATGCCCCCTGCAGTGCACATGGAATCGATCTCCGTGCCCAAGGCTCAGTAAGCCTCTATCCCTTTGGAGTCGGGAAGCAGGTGCCAGACTTTTCCAGGAGGACACCATCACTGGCTCGATACATCGGTACACCGCGAGTAAAGGCCAGATATGCATTCAAGCACCTCCACCGATGCTTAATGAACTTGATGAATGCATGGCGCATCCCTCCAGGATTGATCAACGCCAGGACCTTTTAGAAAGCTTTATACCGAGTTTAAAGATAAGCAGGTCAATTTACAAAGATATCCTCGTTCCTGGAATTACTTATGTTTCTAAAAGAACTTACACATATTTCGTTGATTTTGGTGAAAATAGTCATAAATATTCTTTTTCAATGCTCATTTGAAAATATTAAAGAGTACGGTGCAACTATTTCATGTCAGTAATTACATATACGGACCCCACATTGTCTTATGTTCATTATCTTCCCACTACCCGCTTCAATTTAGGGAATGGCTATCATTTAACGGTGGTCTATGAAAACTCATCCAAACCTGACGAGCAAGTAACTCGTACAATGGATCTTTTACGACGTTACATCACTGATATCCGATTGCAGTCGTTGGTCGGACAAGAAGCCACATTCATTATCTCTTCAAATTGCAAGGCACAGTTCGTTTATCACTTTAATTACGAGGAAAATTTCCAGAAAAAATAATTTCGTAAGAGCTAAAGGCTAATAAAACCTTCATCTAATGAGAAAAGGTGTGAAAAAATATGGTAGATGTCATAGCGGAGAACTAGTGAAGCACTTAGTAGTCAACCAATGAAACCATTGACGATGTTAGGCATCCGTACTATTATGCTCAATCTGAGAAATATCCATGTGGACAGAATAGGCGTTGATCGGAAACAAGATTTTTTTTCGCTTTTTATTGTGTTGAACATCAAAAAACCAACGCAAAATAAAGTCACAAATTACTCTATAATCATGCTGATTACTGCTACAGATTCTCCTCGATGTTCGCGAAACTCGAAAAAATTCAAGGAAAACTCGGAATCTCGTCGTTCGGGATGTCTGTAACCACCATGGAGGAGGTGTTCTTGAAGTGATTCTATTTATTTTCTATTGTTCGATTACTAGAATACCATTTTCATTAGCAGTAATGGGGTATATTCTTATATTTAGAGTTGGAGAAATAGCAGAGCAACGCTTAAATCATGAAAATGCAGATAACGTTGTGGAAATAAAAGAGTTGCAGGATGACGATCCAATAATTCGAAGTAGGTGCCTTTTTCGCATTCACCTTAATTCTTACTTTCTAAAAATGAGTTTTTTGAAATTTAAATTACTGGGTGGAAAACCTTTGAAAGTAACTGACATATCAGAAATGCATTCCCTAACTTTCGTCTTACTTGGATACTTGGACGGCCCATCCTCATTGTTTGTGTGGGCCCCAGTACAATCTCTAATTTTCGGAGTTTTGCTGGTTTAACCATTGTGGTTTCCTGGAAACCCTAGGTCAGCCTGACCAAAGTCCGCTCCAGATCGTCGCCACCACAAGTATTCGCCGCTCTTGTGCATCAGAGGGAGAATTGCCACCTTGTGACAAGCTTGATACCAGGATGGTACGGTGACGGATCCTGGTATTTGTTTACCATTAGCTGAGATTCTCGGAAGCGTCGAACTCCTCAGCCTGGGAGACCCTGCCGGGAAGACCAATCCCCCCGCTGCACATCGCAGCCCAACACCCATGAACACCTACCAGCCACGATGAGGCGGTAAACCGTTGGGGGAAACATTTTTCGTATTCATCAAATAGAATGATCAAACTACACATGATACAGATGATCAAATGGAGTTTACTGCTCGTGTATAAAACGTTTAGAAAAATATCCCTACGACTAATACCTGAAATACCAACGGCTTACGAAAATGGTCTACCAAATGTTGTATTAAATACCGTAAGCCTGCCTTTTATATGCAGTTTGCTGAGACAATTTCCCATCAAGGGAGAAAACGTCTTCTAAATTTTCAAATATTTTTCAAATAACAAAGGACAAATTCTCTTCCTTCGTTGATTTTTATGTTTTTTCAGGTCTTAAAGTGGCAAGACATCTTACTGGTTTCCCATATTACTGGCAACAAGTCGAAGCTATGTTTATCAAAAGGACAATATATTTCTACCGAAAATGGATTATGTTCCTTATTAACTTACTGTTTCCAGTGAGTATTTTTGATTGAAGTAATTTGCAGGCGACGAGGAAAATTTCACTGGATTGCTTAATCGATTTTTATTTTCCTATTTTTCAGATTCTCTATATGGCATTGATGGTGTGGACGACGAAACTAGTCCCATCACCTACGGCTCAACCAAGTTTAAAAATTGATCTCTTACCGTTTGGTGGAAGCAATGGTGACGGCTATCTCATCATTTCTAACCGTACGGATCCTCGCATCGTGGAAGAATTCAATCTAACTGAGTTAGTTGTTTTAGAATTCTTTTACTATAATATTTAATAGGAAGCTGTTGGATAAGTGGAATCGGTGAAACTAATGCGTAAACGGTTCCTTGTTCTACCGTTCCACTCTTTTAAAACAGCCTTTCTTCACGAAGTTTTTCTACCAAATTGTTTTTCCTCTACTTATCATTTAAGTCCTATTTTTAGGTTTCTATTCCTTTTTCTTTCCTTGTTTTTCTCAGCTTATCGTTTGCAGTTCGTATATAGTGAAATGGAACTTTCTCTTAAAACAAGCCATTATTTTTGGGCTGAGCCAAAGTTCTCTTGTAGTTTCAATACTTTTGCCGTTATAACTGTATGTTTCGTAAAATTAAATGAAAGTCTTCGGTGGTTTATTACTAGTGTTACAGATATTTACGTTCCACAGCAGCTCGATTTGGTGCAGAACCCAATCTCCATGTGAAAGGCGTTGAGAATATCACATCCTATGTGTTGGATCTTATAGATAGGGTGGACACTTGATGATTATTGATTGGTTTGCTATCGGATTTCAGGCCACTAAGTCTTTTTGAGCGTCTTTTAAGATTGGATCGCGTAACTTTGGAGTTCATTATCCATTGGCATTCGAGCGGCAATACCAGCAGTCGAATAGTACTAATTTAAGAGGTAGATAGTGATAAACTTTTCTTACCTTAGCTTTCATCGCTAGTGTTTCTGAGAACACTGATCATGACGATCATACTCATAATGATACATGATCGCAAATTCGGTTCTGGTCTCACGTGAACGGAACTTTTTATCTGTGCTGTGTCTTGAATTGACAGCAGAATCAAAAGTGCTAAAGAAAGCGCAAAGTTTTGACTGACTGCTATATATAAGCAGCAAAAAGATGGCGCTATCAATATCGATAGATCCTCCCAGCAATCAATTTTCCATGAGCGTCGACTCCTCTGAACATTACCGTAAATCAAATGCATACGTGGCTATACACTACCTTGCTGAATCTAGCGAAATATTAAATCAATGTTTTTATTTTCCCAGACAAGTTTGTTATCAATTTGCCAATCTCGGGGGATGTGGAACTTAGTTTGACGGGGACACTGGCTCAAACAAATGGCCCTTGTGTTCTGCAAGGCATCACCATTGTGTCATGAGCGACTTAGTAAGGAATAGTGCGGAGTAAATGAACACCGTTTGCTCAACGAAATTTTAGCTTGTGTGGAGATGTGATATCATATAACGATCGTGATTTACTCTAGCTTTCTTCAATAATTTTGCCTTCACCTCCGCGCCACTGGCGATCAGTATCGCTGACTCGATGACCATCTCTGCAACGCTAAAGAGGAATATATCATTAAAAGTAAGTATGTCTAACACTCAAGGGATTTCCTTTGTCTATTTTTATATATAAAAGGTTCAACAACAGAAAATCTCACTTTTTCTTGCGTAGAATCCTGTCGAAGTCAATTGAAATAAAAGTGCACTTATTGATTTTTGCCGCAACCCCATCAACAATAGCATCAAGCGTCATCAACTATCTTTTAAATGGTAGTGGGTACTGTTTGATATGCATTGTAATATTGAGATCTAGCAGCCATTATAGGTGAATAACTATCCATTTCCTCCAGTGGCACAGGATATTCTAAAGAATCGTAACATTTCAAACAGTGCAGCTTTCATTATTTCCTATGCGGTTATTGTGTGTATGTCGATTGTCGTCGCTGCTTGTTCTCAGTTTCTGATTAGAGAACGCAAGAACAAAAGCAAACACATGCAGGTAAGTACTGTGTTTTGATCCAGACTATTGCTCAACAATCGTCTCTGTCCTATTTCATGTCACATTAGTTGTGAAATAACAGTTCTTCCGAGGTAACTCGTACGTGCTAAACAAAACCGCAAGGCAGAGTTGAAGATGTTCCTGGATGTTGAAATATGACATACAGCCTGATGATCAATTTCTAATACAGCCTTCTGAGCTGTGCAGTAGCTTGGCGTTTCGTTGGCGACTCAGCTAGGAGTTACCCCATACCATGGGGAAATCCCAGCCATTTATTCGTGACTACATTATCCCTGAAAGCAGTGGATATGGAAGGCATCATACCAAATGCGCGACACTGTGCATGCTCTTCGTTTGAGCTGAGTCCTAAGAGCCAGAATGACGCTCAACAGAAAAGATAGGGCAATTTATTGATGATCTTTCGAGTTACTCGGTCATTAATATGATTACAACTAACAGACAGGTGAATGGTCTGACGTTCAACATTACTTATACTAAATGTATGACAAAATCGGCTCAAGTTGACCTTGTTGAACACCGTATATTTTCGGCAAAAGATAGTTTGATAAGAACCACAATTTCTTTTAGATGTTATCAGGTCTTCGCTGCTGGATGTACTGGGGCACTGCGTTCGTCTGGGATGTATCATGGTACGTTGTCGAAATGGCCGCATTCATTGGTATTCTATACATCTTCGACATAGAAGTGAGCGAAAAACCATAAACGATCTTTTTGGATCGGTCTTTGAAGCGATTTTATCACAGCCATACACAAAAGATGGCACAACGATTCTCATTTTACTAATGGCAATGACTTTATACGGATTGACAGCTATACCGTTCACCTATTGGTTTTCCTTTATGTTCACCTCAGCACCGAAAGGATTTACACTTATCGTAATGTACAACATCATTACAGGTGTGTTTTTAAACATAATTATGTAATTATGAAAAGATTTTCTTTAATCGACTCCATCCCCCAGGGTGACCATGTTGAGTTGAGTGGGTTCCAGAGCCTTTTTTTGCTTTTTGACCGCACTGTGTATATTCATTCAATAGCTGATCAAAAATAAATCAAAATGGGATAGTTAAAACCAGAAAAAACCATTCTCTTCACTTGATTTACAAAAATTGTATTTTCTTGAAAGTTGATTGACTGGTGATTTAACCAATAATCAACTATTATTTCTCCTATTTCATTGTTATTTCATTTTAACCACTATAGTCACTGTACGGAAAGTGTGGGTACTCAGAATCGACATTTCTCTTTTTTTCCACAAAAATTGAAAAACGTTCTTCTTATTTTATACGACCCGTCTTCACATCTTGTGCGGATCCCAGAACTTCTACATTCGATTCTTTTTTCTCGCATCCATCATCCACTAAGCTCCTCGACCATTTACGTATGGCTTCGGCTAGTGATTTAAGATTTCCACTTCATCTTAAATCTCGTAGACTTGTGCTCGGGTCGATTCTCCTTAGAGTCTTAGGATTACAAGGCTAGAGCATTCCCAGTTGGATGGCAGAGAGCGATTTTTTTTTCGGATAAGGTAGGTACCAAATTCCCGACCCGCAGGAATGAGAGGCTTGATGAGTCCTGAGCGGAACCGAGCCAGCTGAAGACCGGCATCACTACATCTGTGCTATCCGCTCCTTAATACACTCAACATAAACTTCAACATGCTTTCAACTTTTATGCTTTTTTGCTTGCTTTTGCATTCTTTCAACATGCTTTCATGCTTTCCTTTTTGTCGGTAGCAATTCATTTGCAATATGGGCTATAGTAGCTCGTAGTAAATAGTAGCAGTAATAGTAATAAAAAATAGTAATAAAAATAATAAAAATAGTAATAGTAATAGTATCATATATATCATCCATGCTCACAGAACGATAACGCAGAGTCTGTTCTACAATTCTATTATGTTCAAAATACCTCAAGCTCTCTATTTATTGTGAGAAAGCTTTTTTATTGTCAAAGAACCATGACGTCCGCAGCTGAAGAAAAATTGCACAAAACCTGTTGGACCAACCACAGAATGGGTTAAATTAGTGATCGCTCACCCCACTTTATGCGTGTTATGCAGTGGTTAGAGGTATCTTCCTAAATACATGAGTTCGATCTCCCGCTATCGACGAGATATTCACTCACCTACAACGATGCTTGATGAAGTCGAATCCATGGCGCATCCCACACGGATTGATCAACACCGAGAGCTCTATTCTATTAACTTTAAATTTAAAAGGCACCAGTAATAAAAGGTGGACTGCACCATATATTGAGCAACGTCTCTCTTTGCATTTACTTTGACGCCATTCGAAACTTTCAAGAACACCTTTCTGGGTTATTAAGCTAGCAACAGATCGATAAAAAGGGATTTGCTTTGATCAATTATGATGTTTAAGGTATGATTGGGTCAATAGCCGTTCCTATTATACAACAGACTGCCGATGTTTATACGGCATTCGATTGGAGTGTGGTTCTCTCTTTCTTATTTCCTACTTACGGTATCTCCAACGTTTTTACAGCGGTTTGTTCAAACGCTTTCGATTTTCCTTTAATTATTTAAGGTTGAGTCCAGCAATTTGATGGAAAATGCATAAGTTTGCTCCGAAAACAAATTCATGTAGGAATGCATCTTTAGATAGTATAATAAATCTTGAGGATACATAAAGTTATCGTCAAATCAGGGCTATTTTATTTATCTGTAAAATTATTTACCTCGTGTTTCTTGGTATCAAAAGGTTTTCGATGCACCTTGCAGTCGATTCCTTCTTTAGCTCTTCAAGATAACACGACGTTGAGCTTCACTCTAGGTTACCCGAAATTTTTCCCAGCTTATCCTTTAGGTTAATCATTTTCAGGTGGTCTTCCTATTCACTTGGAGTCATCGTCTATAACGGTTGTTTAACGTCTTAATCTTGAAATGACTTTCTTATCTAGTGACGAAAGCACTTCAGTTACTGTGTTCATATCTCTAGCTCTTAGTTGGAAATTCTCTACAACATATTATGCATTTTTGTTTAGCATTGTTGTATTTAGACATTTTAGAGGCTTCAGGCGCGAGACGTTCTTCAAGTTTCGTCATCCAAAAATAAGGCTTATCGCTTGATAACGTTGTCTTGTCGCTCTTTTTCATTGGTCTACGCCGGCTACTGTAAATGAATGAAGATCCTTACATAGAATCAAAATCTTATACCATTGCGCCGCTGGGTTGATCCGAATACCGTTACACAAAAGTGTGACTTAGGGTGCTGGACTCACCTGTTTGCACCTTTTGCCGTTTTTCATAAGAAGTGCTGTATTCCAATCCGGGCCAATAAACCATGTTTGACTCCGATTATCTTAACACTGTCTTCTCAGTTCTCGCTCCGTTTCTGGCACCGGCCGAAACTTGTCCAACATTCTTCAATAGGCTATCTTAGCCAACGTTCAACATTTTCAGATAGCCACTCATCAAAGTAATCCAGAACGTCTTAGGATTCGTTCATAGCCTATAAATTGCTTTTTCTCATAAAATTCGGCACTATGCTTGGCCTACTTAGATTGGAGGACGCCAGAGTTGTTTTTTAACTACTAAAAATGTTTATTTCACAACATGTTTTGATTACCTCCTCCTCGAAATGAGATAAAGTTTGTGTTTTGTGAAGATTTTGCACAAGGGTACAATCCTGTAGGAGCAAACACATTCTTTACTACTCAGTAACCGTAATTCAGTCAATACGATAAGTTACTTCTTTTTTTTAGGTGTACGATAATGAGTTTGGTAGACAGGCTTGTGAGATGCTTGACTGCTCGAATCCGCTCTATCTACATAACATCCAGTGCTGTGGTCAATCTGAAGGTGAGAATAGTTAGAGATGGTGCCATAATTCTTTTGTAATCGTTTAATGCCAACAGGTGACACCTTCCATATTTGAGATTTGTGTCGTCAATCCGTTGGTCGGGTTGCGTCGCTGAAATGCTCATAGATAAAACAAGACCGAATCAATACTGCTTAAAATCTGATAAAAATTACCTAAAGTAGATTTTCGGAAGAGTAAAAAAACGGTTTAAGGACGGTTTTTCAGATAGGATTTATACCAATCACATTTTAACTGATACGGGTCGGCGTGGAATTGTGTGGCCAATGGTCTTCTTCATAGTTCAGGCATGTTTTTCGAACTTTCTCATATGAAACTCATTTTCTTCACTAAAACTCTGCTACTTCACTATAAAAATAGCTTCAACTGTTCTTTCCAGAACATCAGAAGCCTCCTACCATAATGTAGGCCTGGCACACTAGTTGGCACTGATCTGTCATCCTGCTTGCTGATCGTTAGGGACCAACGGGACGATAGTATTGTTTCGGACTGTTTTGCATGTTCGGAAGTGAAAGAACTGTTGGTTGTGGCTTCTTCGATTCTACACCGGCGTATCAGGACGAGTGTTTCTAGAGATAGATGTCTCTTGGTGACCTTCGAACTATCAGTTGGTCTATTTCGTTATGGTACTCCTCATTGGGAGACTCCCACGTCTAGCGTTGAGACTGGGGCTTCTGAAATTGCGAGTTACCACGAATTGTTTTGGTCATCGTTATAAACTCGGACAGCTGCTCTCCCTAATCGTTTTATTCCATTCCGTGGGTGCCAGTGTCACTTTCTTCAAGCATTCCTCTGTGTCCTATCTAAACGTTAAAATTCCCAGTGATAACCTTAAAGAACGCACTACCTTTTCTGTAAAATTCCTCCAAGTCCATGAATAAGGCTTCGAGTTCTTCTCAGTCGTAGGTTGATGTCGGTGCGGAGATGACAATGCTTGTCAAACGAGTTGTCGATCCATCTCTCTAACCGTATAAATCCGATTCAGGTTATTATTTGTTCGGATGAAATAATGTTCATGGGCAAACTCGTGTATAAGAGAATGCCAATCTCCGACACGTGTATTATCGCATGCCCGCGTAACTGTTCTTTTCCAGCATCATAGATAGCTTTTAGTAGCGGATTCTTCTCTTCTTAGCCAATAACGGCGTACCTTATCCTTTTTGCTGGAATGATCAGGCCCTCAGTGGAGGACTCAGATACAGGTAGACATACGAGCAGGTCATCACTTCAGAAAGGGCCTGGAGCTTTGTCGACCCAACCGTACTCATCTTACCCATCACTGCCTTATTGAGGGCTCCTACAGGTTCGGGAAAATGGGACCTTATTATTTTACTGTGTTCAGAATTTGATTCCTACGTTGAGCTCTGAACTTGGGTGAGGGGGGGTTGTACTTACGGTTAGCTTACCAGTCTATCCCAGAGTAGACGAGGAGCTTGCCTGCTGAGCTGAAGGCGACTCCTGAACACATCACATTACTTCACAGTCACTTTCGCAGAGTTTTGGCTGAATTGACTACTACAATACAATTCGTATAAACGAGAACGCAACCATACATGCATGCATGAATACGTCTCGTAAATAGAGAAAGTACGTGCCAAGTCGGCGCAGCAAAAACAGGGAGACCATTCCCTGGATCCATCTGCGTCTCAGGGAAACAAGGGTTGCTTTTGCTCCACGATTAACCTCCTGTCTGCCACTTGTTAACGCACCGCGTTGTCTCGTGACTAACAGGCATGAGTCCACTATGATGCAGATCCGCTGAAAAATGTTATGAAGGGCAAAATAAATACCAACGCTCGCCATGGAGCTTCTACTCCATGAAGTATTGTAGAAGTGATTGAATGAATATTTAGCCTATGAAATCACTTACGGTGGTCTATTGATGATTTTATCCTCACAGGAAAAATTTAGTAGCAATTTTACGACCACGGAAGGACAAGAAGCATTGTTAAACCCGGTCGTGGAATAGAACCAATGACTAGAGCAGCATTACAGCACATGTAAGAACTGCGTTCCACGAGTCTGTGAGATAGCACTAATGCTCAGAGATTTACGAAATCGGTCCATTAAAACAGTTTTTCGTTAATCTTTTGCACTCTAAGTTTCTGCTTTCATCACCACTGCGTCCAAATCGATCTTACTACTCGTTCTTTTTCATGGATATTCTCAGTGACCATCCACGGATTTCCATTCTTGCTTCCTTTCGCCTCTTAGTGTTTTCTGTTCTTAGTGATCTGAAATCTAAGAAGTTGTATCTTTTCTTCATTTAGTCACTATGCTTTAAAATCTTTTTAAATGGATATAACGTTCAGTGATCATTTCACTTTAGGGTTTCGTGTATTGGTTTTTCGTATTCAGTTACGAAAATAATCTTTTTCGAAGTCTCATAGCGTCCTGCATGGATCGTCGGCGAAGGAAGCGTATAGTTGATGAAATGGTGAGAGAATACTGGCATGAACAACGACAGTTCCTTCTTATTACCAAGCCTGAGACCCATAAAAAATTGCGGTAGGTAGTAGGAGGTTTATCTGGACCATAAGGGAAACTCTTTCGGAAGAACAATTGATATCAGTTTTGCGCTATTCCTGTTCTCTACGTCACAATAATTAGAAGAGATGCAGTCTCACCCAATCAAGGATTGCACCCCTTCTCGTATGCGACTAGTCAGTGCTATTGGAATTGGGTGGGGTAGTCTGCGCTAAAAGCACAACAATAGCATTTTAAAGAGGAAAGACTTTTGAGATTTATTGACAAATTCTGTCTTTGTAGTATGACAACTGGGCATTGGAGAGTGACGAAGTTGAAATAAAAGGTGAGGACTGCGATGTCGTGAGTGAAAAAGAAAACGTGAAAACGATGAATCGGTTCAATACTGCTGTGTTAGTGGACGACATAAAAAAATGGTAAGCTTAAAACTTTTCCGCTTTGTTTTTTTTTAACCTACCGCTTTATGAGGAAATGGGTTCCGTTGTTTGCCAGAAAGTAAGCATACAAACCCTTGGAGATGCGCCATGCATTCGATACCACTAGTAGCATGGTTAAGATGACTGAATGCACATTTGGTTAATGAAATTACTTGCATGAGCCAACAGATGTATCAAGACATTGTTTTTCTTCACTCATATAAATCTCATTCTAACTAGTTGACCCACAGAGGCTGACGGTTCGGTTAGGGGGTGCGTTGGATCTAACCGAGGCACAAGTGCATATTGCATAGCATCTTTAAACGCTGCACTACAACCACCTTATGGAACGCGAAACACGTAAAATGTTATTCATGATCTACTGAATACATAAGCTTTTGGTCATTTGCAGATTGCTGCTTTTGCAGTATTTTTTGATATGATATGCTTTCTGATAGCAATGCCATAGTTGAATATATGATCTATGACTGTAACGTAGCTCTTAATAAACTTCTTGTAACCTGAAAAAATCGTTTGAACAAAAAGACAGAGAAATGACGGAAAGGACAAAGCAAAATCAAAAACCTTTAATTGAAATGATTCCGATACATGATGTTCACGTTCAGGTACGGCGATTTCAATGCTATTAAGGGCGTAACGTTTCACGTGAAGACGGGTGAATGCTTCGGGTTGTTGGGAATAAACGGTGCCGGAAAGACGAGCACCTTTCAGATGATCACTGGTGAGAATGACATCGACGATGGTGATGCGTTCATATGCGGATGGAGTGTCAAGACGAACTGGCGTAAGGTTGGCTAAGCACCTGATTTATTCTTTTTTCTTTCTTTCTTTTTTCGTTTTCTTTTTATGCACTTTTTCGTTTTTGCTTCAATTTCTTTTTAGTTTTATTCTTTTTGTTTTCACCTTATTCTTAAAAAAAGGATAAAGCTCTCGGCGTTGATCAATCCCTGAGGAACACGCCATGCATTCGACTTCATTAAATATCGTTTGGAGGTGATTGCTTTACAATGAGTTGGGGTAGCCTACCGATGTATCGAGCCAGTGCTGCTATCCTCCCAAACAAGTCTGGTACCAATTTGTCGACTCCGGAGGGATGGAAGGCTTGGTGGGCTATGGGTACGGAGATCGATTCCACGTGTGTGTCGCGGTGGCGCCTCTAACCACTGCACCACACTCCTTCCTTCTTCTTAGTATTCCCTTTTCTCTTGTGCCTTCATTATGAGTGCTTTCAATTCAATTTATTATTTGTCAAATTTTTTTTTGGCATTCACTTGACTCGAGATCCATAAAAGTAAGAATTATTAGCTTTTTGTCATACTACGTCTTATTGAAAGATGATGGAAAAACTAGGGAATCGAAAAAAAAGGGAAAGCAGGGATCGCCATACTAGGACATCGCTTTCAATTTTCAATTGCTTTAAGCTATTATCTTATTTTGAGACGCTTTTTTAGTTTTTTAAAGAGTCCATAGTTTATTATTATTTATTATTTTTATGGTTTCGGAATTTTTCCACCTCTTCTCATCAGGCTGGAGCCAGTACTGGCTACTGCCCGCAGTTCGATGCTGTTCTTAAAGAAATGACCGGCGAGGAGACACTCTACATGTTTGCTCGGATTCGTGGAATTCCAAGGAGAGATATTCCAAAAAAGGTAATAAAGGTTCTACGATGGTTTTTTCGAACTCAAAAATAACGTCTTGTGAAGGAAGTAGGAATTTTATTGCCCACAAAGAGAATTTGTCTTTATTTGAATTTGTTTGCATGGCTGCCCATCATACACACTGTTTAACCAGCTTTTCCTTCATTTGATTCGGTTTACTTGCATCCGCACTCCACAAAAGTTTTTGGATTCGCGAACATACTCACTACTTGAGGATTTTGTCTTTTTCGGGAATGTCTCTGAGTTTTGCCCGAGTGGACATTCCCGGTAATCCTGCAGTTACCATACCAGGGAGTTCCCAGATCTCTGCCACACTCAGTCTCCAGCCTTTGTAAGGGAATCGTTCGCTTATAAGTCTGATGACAATTCGCCGATCTTAAGAAGATGGTTAGCTTGGATGACCTGGAGCATGGAAAGAATCGAACCAGTGACCGTTTTAGTGTTATTAAGCGGCGGTGTTAACCACCTTCCACGTCCCCTTAAATTAAATAGGTACACTTGTCTGAAATAGTCTCTTTTCATTGCATTTTGCAAATTAAAACTTCTTGCTTTTCTTAAGGGAAAGAGGTCGAATCTTTTTTGTGAGAGGAAAGGCACCTAGTGCGGATACATTTTACACAAAACTGGTTTTGTTTGAATGTTTCTTGTAGGTGAACGCTGTTATTCATACGATTGGAATCGGATTATACGCTAGACGGCAGATAAAAAGTTATAGGTGAGATAAGGATGTATTGAATCTGTAAATATTTCAAAACGCTGTCGATGTTCCTTTAAAGGCGTTGAGGCGCCGTTATAAGTTTACTTTGAAATGAACACTTTCGGCTTTTACAGAACTTCGTTAGCAGTGACACGAAAAAAGTAGGGAGAAAGGTCTGCTGGGCTTCTTTCTGGATACCAATAATCCATAGCATATTTTATAACTACTCCTTTAACTGAATGCTTTAACTGAATCAAATCTTTTAACAACTTGAAAAAAATTACCCGAAAGCAATTTCGGTGGTAAAAGAGTTTTATTTTTAGTGGTGGCAATAAGAGACGTCTTTCCCTTGGAATCGCTCTCATCGGACTGCCACCGGTTTTGTTACTTGATGAGCCAACAACTGGTGTCGATCCGAGAGCTCGTCGAATAATCTGGAACATATTTTCAAAAGTATTTTTGATTAATTAATTTTTTTTCGCGGCTTGTTCTCGCTAGCAGAAAAATTGTGGTCCCTGCTTAGATGTTTTTTAGCTATTTTTCTTTTCAGAGTTTTTAGACTGTTCTTCCTTGCTAAATAATAAGTAAGAGAAATCAAATAAAAAATAAATAAATAAAAAATAATTGTTACCTAGTGCCGAAAAATAAATAAAACTGCAGGAACAATCTAAATATGTTGACCTTTTTGATTTGCTGCCTTTTTCAAGTTTTCACGGGAGGGTACTATTTGTGAAACAATCACAATGGTGCTGAGATATTTGCAGAACTCCGGACCGCAGGTGTCTGCGATGGGGAACAAACGCGCTATTACCCTTTCCTTGTGCTAACGCGTTCCCCACCACACCATGTGGGTCCCTCGTTTCGGCTGTCTGCTATTCTACTAATAATTCGAAACAGTCATAGCAAAATAACATCTTTCAGAGGAGTAGGTATGAGCTATTGAATTACGCAAAAAACTCCATTTGAATGGTGAGATTCGCATGGCTAACTAAATACCTCATAAATTGTCGTTCAATCGATTTCGCATATTTTTTGCTTTTACTTAAATCGACGATCATTATGGAATCAAAAGATTTATGCTCTTCTCTGGTGTTCGATAAAAATGACAATGGAGTTTAGGTACGATCGCTTGGAACAGCACTAGTGCTCACTTCTCATAGTATGGACGAATGTGAGGCGTTGTGTACTGAATTAGCCATTATGGTAGACGGTAAACGTTGAAATTTTCGTATTTCGACATTTTTTTATTGTTTGCGTCACTTGGGTACTTTAACGAAAAGTGCACCTTAACACGTTTTCCATTTCGCTAGTAATTTCGGCTAGGAAATGTTTTCTCTCTGGGAGCTCGAGGTACTTCCGCTCTGATATTATCACCACTGGAAATCATCGACTCCTCAGGTGGAGCGCAGTTGGATTTTTCGGCTTCCGTTTATATCACTACAGTAGTGGTTCATATCATTGCTTTGTTATTTGCTGGATTTCCCGTTTGCAGCCTGTTACTCCTTACCAGCGTGCTAGGCAAATGTGCGTGGTAAACTAGCGCTGTATTTTGCACTTCGACATTTTAGGGGCACCTCCAATCCACGGTGACCACTGGTCAACTCTCAGGACACACTTGTTAGTTTAATTCCGATTTTCTTCGCATCGTGAAAAAGGCTCGCTTATCAGGTGAAAAGTCCGTGGCGTGAAGGGGAACAAAATTGGATTTGATCGCTTCGATTATATAAGCCCACATATATCCTGTATCCGCCTAATCTACATAAAAGACAGTATGAAGGAGAAATTACACAAAATAATGAAAGCCGTGTATGGGAAGACAAAAGCACCAACTTGATATATCGGCGTTCCCTTGGAAGTCTTCGCCTAAGCGAAAAGTGCATTCAATCACCTTTAAAATCTTTGATGGCTCGTGGAACCTTCCAAATGGATTGATCAATAGCAAGCGCTCTATTCTTCATCCTTTCAAAGTCTCTTTTTTAAAGCAGACCTAGAGTGAGAATGAGACCACGTTAGGAAGCTGAACCATATTTCAGGAAAATTCAAGTGTTATGGTAGCTGTCAACATATCAAGAGCCGATTTGGTGCTGGATTCACTTTGTTAATACGTCTACGAAACTGTGAAGGTGTTGACAGAATAAAAAGCGAAATTCTGAAAAAATTTCCTGGTGCAGTATTGAAGGTTAGCCGTTTTAAGTTGGCATAGATAACGAATTGAGAACGTCAGAATAGATCGACGAATTGTCGACGTCTCCAAATCTTCCAGGTATGCAAATTATGCGAATTACCCAAATACCATGTCAATAAAGTCTTTTATAACCTTATGGCTGTCCTGTTATTGTGTTTCCAATTTTTTTTTTCGTGTTATGAAAGTACATAGTGTATTGGCTAGCCAGCACAATATAGGTTTTGGAGTCAGTCTTGGGCATAGAATAATCACTAGCCCGAAGTGGAATGTTCGACTTCGTGCCACATCGCCACACGGGACTTTTGTCTTTGCGAAAGGGCGCAATCTTCAACTCGGGTGGTTAAAACGTTTGCAATAATAATAAAACAACATCGATATGCCAATACCGAAACAATCACCTGAATCACCCGTAGTCCCACTGGTCGTCGAGCGACTCGATCGGGCCCGAGTAAATCTTCCATTTTTCCCTGTCGCATGCAAGAGTAGTCCGGTGGGTTTTGCTCGCTTTAGGGATTCGGCATCATACCTTCTCCTAGGCTTTTCCTGAAGAACTGACCATCGGGTCGGTGGTCTTCCTGCAGTACGTTTGGCATTATGACGAATTCAGTCACTAACGGCTCTTGTACATTGGTTGTCATCCATATGCATTATGTGTCTGGCCCACCTTGTCTTCAACAGTTTGGAATATTAACGGCATCTTTGTTTTTCGATCGTCGACTCAAATCGGAGCTTCAGATTTCCCTCACTTGCCTGTGTGACGCGGGGTACTCCTACCATAGTCTTTTCGACTGTGTTCGATAATGCCGAGTGGTCCTTCATCCTGCTTAAGCAGCGACTAGCTTTCTCACCCATTCGTTAAGGAGGGAAGTGTCGTGGAGTAGGAAAGGTAGACGCGCAGTCGAGTGTTCCTTGTTCTTTTCACTACATCCTCGATGCTCTTGAAAGCTCCCCAAGCCACTCGTTTCCTTCCGCTCAACTTTGGAGCTAAGTCGTTCATCATGTTGATTTCGCAACCTAGACAGACGTAACTGGAGCATTCAGAGACATTCGTTTCGTTGAGTGTAAATGGGGCATAGGAAACCAATCCGTTCCTCATTAACATCGTTTTTGTGAGATTTAGTCGAAGACCAACTTTTTCACAGGCTCTATCAAAGTCGGCAAGCATTCGTTCCTTTTAGCTAATGTTTGATGTTATGAGAACGATGTCAACAGCAAAGCGAAGATGGTGTAACTGCCGACTATCGATTTTAGCTTTCATATTATCCCATTCCAATGTTCGTATGACGTTCTCAAAGGTGGCGGTAAATAACTCTGGCGAGATGGTATCGCTTTACCTAACTCCTCTTCTAACCTCGACGTTAATATCGTTGTAGAATGGTGTTATCTTGGTTGTGAAATTTTCGTACAGCCCATAAAGAATCTTTATGAACTGAGTAGAGGCTTTTTGACTGTCAAGGACTTCCATAACTGCTCCTATCTCAGCTGAGTCAAAGGCCTTCCTAAAATCGATGAAAGTGAGACGGAGCGGTCTTTTGTACTCTGGCGATACTTCAATGAGCTATGTTACAGTGTGGATATGGTCCATCGTACTAAATCCTCTTCGAAACTCCGCTTGCTCACATGACTGTCCTTCGTCCAATGTTCTGTCAATCCTGTTTAGGATGACTCGAGTGAAAAGTCTGTAGACGACAGGCGGCAAGCAGATTGGGCGATAGTTGCCGATATCGTGTATGTCACACTTGTTGAACAATAACACGGTCTTGCTGGTCTTCCATTGAGTAGGAACTTTGCATTCATACAGGTAACGTGTGAAGAGTCGAGCCAGTGTGTTCACGAAGACTGGCGGAAGGTTATTCAGTTGTTCTGGTCTTATCCTGTTCGGACCTGGTGCTATTCGATTTTTCACCGACGAAATAGTACGTCGAATTTCGGAAGGAAAACCGTGCCTTTCTGTGCGCTGTAACTGTTCCGTCTGGACGTCGGAGTGCAATCATCTTGGTGTTGTAATTGGCGAAGCTTCTTCGGGATTTTCCAGAGCTTTTCCCATTGTCTGCAGCTTCGACTTCAATTGCTGCTCTTCTCTCTTTAAAATATTTTTTTATTGCCTGTCTTCACTGTGCTGCAAATTCGAGCGTGCGTTAAAGGCTTCCTATAGATCATTTGATTCTGAGCTGGCTGATCACCTCATTTGCTTCTAGAGACACACGTCTCTTAATGACTTTCGAATTCTCAACTTTCACAACGCTAATTTGAGCATGTTGAATGACACGATATTATTTCTCGTCGACGTTCTGAATAAATCTTGGCCATCTTCCCAACACCCTACTAGTGCACTGAATAAGTCGCAGTTTATAATGGTTTTGACACTTCGTTGTTTGAATTTCACGAATTTTTCTCCTTTCCGCAAGAAATGATTCTCGCACGAAAGAGGCGATGGCCTAGTGCCATGTAGAATTTTTGCAAGACAGTGATATATGTTAGGCAAAATCTTCGATTTACTATGATGAGGTCTATTTCGTCATGGTACTCTCCACTGGAAGCATTGAGGGTGGGTCTTCTGGATTTGCAAGTTACCATGAATGATCTTGTTCGTCATGATAAACTCAGACAGCCGCTCACCCTTCCCTTCAAATTCGTGGGTTGAAATGTGGCGTTTTTCTCGGTAGAATCCTAGTGCTAAGATCTCCAATGATAATCTTGAAGAATATATGGTTTTTCTCTGTAGAGCTCCACTAAGTCCATTTAGAACGCTTCGACTTCTTCGTCGTCATAGTTTAAAGTGGGCGCCTAAACGACGTAGATTGTCAAAGGCAGTATTAATCAACATCTTTCCAATCGTAAATGTTCGATTCGAGCTGTTAGTTGTTTGCATGAATCGATGTTCATGGACAAACTCGTCTTGACGAGAACGCCGACGCCGCCGACTCCTCAACTGTCGCATATTCCGAGGAACAGTTCTTCTCCAGTGTCATAGACGGCGTTGAATGAGTGTCGTCGTCTCGTTTAGGCAAGCCGATGACGTTGTACCTTATCGTTCTTGCTTGCATGATCAAGGCTTCTATCGAGAGAGCTCTCGGATGCATGTGCACGCGCATTGTAGGTACAGATCGTCACCTTAGTTCTTCGTGATCCAAGCAGCTTTTATTGTCCCTGAGATTTTAGCAGCCTGTGCGTACTCGTCCTAACCAATGCTGCAGAATCGAGGGCTCTTTCGGAGTCAGAGAAATGAGTTCAGCGGTGTTTGACTCTTTTATACCCTCAAATGGCTTGCTGAGCTCTGGATGGAGCTTATTTGTTGAAAACGACTCCTAACCGCCTTCTATATACTTCCCTGTCACATGATTGCAGTCTTTTGGCCGAACTGACTCGTAGAATACAATCCGCATAAAAGGATACGCACCCACGCACCAATGCATGAATATGTTCTCGTACGTACGGGATGTATGTGGCAAATAGACGCAGCAGAAACAGCGAGTCCATCCCTTGGATAAACCTGCGTCTCAGGAGAGCAAAGGTCGCTTAGTCCGCCATTAAATCCCTATCCGCCACCTGGAGGCGCACCACGTAGCTACGCGACTAAGTTGTTCGGGATTTCTCATATGAGGGAAAAACGTGGACTGAAACAGCACAAGCGCATATATGGTAATAGGGTCGATAAGTGAAAATAAGACAATGCGTAAGAAGATGCTTGAAAGATTGTTTTGTCATTGGCTGGTGATATGAGGTGCTGCGCAGTTATAATATGAAGTGCAACAGTAATGCCACACGAAATTAATGATGAGAGGTAGATGTATGCACAACACTGTAGTAGTGATGTCCGTCATCACGAACACGGCGCTGATTCGATTCCGTTTCGTGCCAACCAAGCCTCTCATCGCTCCGAGGTCAGAAAATTGGTACCGGACTTATCTGTGAAAAAATAATCGCTCTCTGCAATCCATTTGGAGACGCTCCGGCCCGACTATCTCCAGAGAGAATTGCTCCACCAGCATTCTATGACTTTCAAGATGAAATAAAGATCGTCAAACAGCAACTGAAGCCACACGTAAAAGCTTGGAAGACCCTCGTCGATGACGGATGCGAGGAAACGAATTGAATGTAAGAAGTGTTGGGATACGCAGATAAGATGTGAAGACGGGTCAAATAAAACAAAATAAAAATACACAAATATGTAGTTTTACTATTTATTTGGTTATAAATAATTTCAGGAACATCATCTGCTTCAATTGGCTTATGAACTGCCAAAGCGGAAGGGAACCACTTGGTCTGGTTTATTCGATAGACTTGAAGAACTCTTAAGGGATTTCGACTTCGAAGACTATTCACTCAGTCAAACAACACTCGAGCAGGTAAAGACTCTATAAAAATAGAAATCAATTGCCGAACTACTGGAACGCCATGTTTTATTTTTCCTTAAAATTAGTTTTACCAGCGTCGAAAAAATCAATGTTTTCTTACATCCATCACTTGGGGCCATAGTTGTGCCCTTCGCAATTTTTTTTGGAAAAGTGAACTGAAATATTCGCTTAGCTAATTGTGGTTCGGGAAAGATTTGGTGTGATGCTAACCTTTCAGGTATTCCTGGGATTTTCCCGAAATGCAACGCAACCAGAACACAACAGTTACAGTGGGTTCACTAATGAAGTCGACGGGAAGCTCGCGCACATAGACAAATACGCAACAAGAGGTTAAAATCACACTTGAAGCTTTAGCGGAATTGACAGTCGTTTTGTACTTGTTTTCATTAACAATATTAGATCAATTTCGATTGTTGAAAGATTTCTCATGATGTTGAGAACTCAATGAAGCTCTGAATTGCAAGTGAATATTGTGCTAACAGTGAATTGTTACCTCTTTTGGAGAGATATCTATCCAGTGCCTTGAAATCTTTACTAACCGAACAGCAAATTCCAAGCTCTATATGCTCTTCATGACATATTCCACCGAGATTCGGGTCAATTTAACAATTTAAGTATGTAATTTTAATAAAATAATTGTTCAATTTGTAGTTTTTACAGAGCTCGACCATGCTTTGGTAGAATTATCATTATATCAACGGTAAACACTGATTTAAAGTGACGCATTGCATAATACATAAGTGCAGCAAGCAGTCAGCCGTTATTCCATGTGAGTGAGCGTTTGTGGGGATTCTGTCTTTGATCCATCCATGCGTGCCAACAGAGATCATTCATTCGAAACGCAAGAGAAAAGCACTGTGTTTTCCGTCTAACAGGTCTGGTTTTAATTGTTTAAGGATGCCGAAAACATTTGGCTTGACAAGCGCTACCGTGAGTTTTATTCACGGCTGGTTTGTTAGGAGTCGATCGAAAGGACCTAGGACTTAGTTTTCGGAGGTGACCTTAACCGTTTACTTCATTTCACTGATCGATTTGCATCCATGTTCTTCACGGCAAGCAATAATTGCAAATGAAGGGTTCCAAGTAGTTCCAGCCAACCGATTGAGGGAGGCGATACCTCCTCGGCACTATCCGAGCGCTTTGTTGTTGTAGATACAAAACACTTTAATGCAATTACATAAGTTACACATTTTCATGTATACTCAGTCATGCACGACTATGAGTAGGCATCAATACGACCGCATGGAAGTTAGAGACACACCGTGCACATTTACAGGAGAGCCAATCTCTTGAGGCAACGCAATCAACAAGTGAATGATTGTTTTTGTCCGAGTTCAGCCAGCCATCCAGCACTTGCAGTCACGCGACCTGCACTAATCGGCTCGGCATACTACGAACATTTCGTCTGAGTTTGTAAAATATTCACTAAGAAGATGCCCGTTGAATAAAAGTGTTCTCTGTTAAGACCAATACGGCTCGTTAAACTTTTTTAAGATTTAGTCATTTTCCTTCCCATTTCAGCACTCATACTTTCGCACATTTCCGCTTTTGTCAAGCGAACCGATATTTTTAGTTCTTCAGTTTCTTCTACAATTGGGTTAAAGAAGAGTAAAGGTCTTTATAGTTTACAATAACAGCAAAGAAAATTAATTTACTTTTTCGTTTCCATTTAATGACGGGAATTGGTGTGTAGTTCAGCTGAGTGAAGTGCTCCGATTTATTTCCTTGAGTTCAGATTAGTCTCCTAGGGTGTGCAGTTTTTTTTTCAAGAGAACAACAGTAATGCTTAGTCAGCTCTTCTCGTTCTATAAATTTTAATTTTAATTAAAAATTGTATCCTCAGTTTCTAACTCTATTACGAGTCAGTCCGAGCTGCACCAACCTCTCGTTGCTTGTAGATCTGAAAATCAGTACCAGACTTGTCTTATATCCACGAAATGATTCCATTCCACGTGGAAACGTTTTATCACCGCTATTCGAAAACTATGGGGAGAATGTGCTCGACCTGCATTCTACAACTTTCATGAAGAAGAGAACTCTCAAGGAGCAGCGGGACCCACATGCGAAATATTTGAGGACCATCGTGTCTGATCGATACAAGGAAACGAATCGAATGCAACAAATGCTGGTATTCTCATAGGATGACACATGTGATGCCGACCCATGTAAAAAAAGGATTGCCACTTTGTTCTCTTTTATTATTCAGGTTAGTTTCGACAGGAATCCAACATTCATAAGTTCCTTAACGAGAAGCAGAGCTGTTTTTCGAAGAAATGTTCAAAATCGGCCCTCCCATCTCATTCGCGTTGGTCCAAAGTGATTTTTCTTCTTCTTTAGCGTCATAGACGGCGTTTAATGGCCCTTCTTGTTTGCATGATCAAATCTTCTATCGAGGGCTCAGATGCAAATGTCCATGAATTGTAGGTACAGATCATCATTACCTCAGTCTCTTTCCATCTAAGTAGCTTCTTAGATTGGCTCTGAGGTTTTAGCAGCCTGTCCGTACTCGTTCTACTCAAAGCTGCTGAATTGGGGAATCTTTCGAGGAAAGGGGTAATGAGCTCCGTTTATTTCACTGTGTTTAGCTTTCTGATATCCACGTATAGCTTGCTGAGCTATGAAGGTGGGGGTGGGTATATTATCAGGTACCTTTCAGGTTTTTCCAAGAGTGGAAATGGAACTTATTTGCTGGAGGCGATTCCTAACCGCGTCCCATATTCTTCGCTATCACTTGATTGCAGGCTTTTGGCCGAATTGACTCGTAGAATACAATCCGCATAGATAGGAACACACCCACGCGCACATGAATGGATGCGCCCCCATAAATACCGAAAGTATGTGCCAAATCGGCTCAGCAGAAACGGAGAGTTCGTCCCCTGGATCCCAGAAAAGCAAAGGTCGCATTCGCTTTTTGTCCGCGATTGACCCCCTATCCATGCTACTTAGCCTCGCGATTAACCGACTGGAGATCCCTTATACGAGTGAGATCTGTGGTATGATGGAGAAACGTGGCTCCGATTTCGTGGATCAGTTAACGACGTAGCTTAAACTTCTTGCTACTTTATGAATCGATTCTAGAACCAACGTTTAGTTGTTTTACTTTCTCACTGAGATGAGCGGTTATGAAACTGATTATTTTACATTCGCTTTTGTTTTTCTGGGACCTGTCAAGCCGTTATCTATAGCTCAGTTCACAGTATGATACCCAGGAAAGAAACCCACGAGAAAATTTGGAGTAATAGATGAAACTCGAGCATATATAGAAAGTCTTTAGCTGAAAAATGAGTAGAACGCTAGGAAAACTACGATGGTCTTCAGTGTTTAACCTCTTACTACTTCTGTTCAGCAAACATGAGATGTTACTTCATTTCTTTATTTACGTACAAGCTGACATTTCGGCGGATTTCGCCTTCCCCAGAGCCTGGAGAGGTCAGATAGACTACAATTTACACGGCCAAACACCTCCATAACCAAATAGAGAAAATGCTGAACCAAAATTTCAATCACATTGAACACAGAGTCTCTGCACACTCACCACTTTCTATTAGTCTTCTACTAAATATGATGAGATGGGCACGTTACGACTCCATGTGAGCTCTGTGCGGCTGGTCTTTATGTGACATATTTAATGGAAGACTAATAGAAAGCGGCGAGTGTGCAAACCTGTGTTCAATGTGATTGAAATTTGGTTCAGCATTTTCTCTGTTTGGTTATGGAGGTGTTTGGCCCTGTAGATTGTCCGCCGAAACGTCAGCTTGTACGTAAATAAAGAAATTAAGTAACACCTCGTGTTTGCTGAACAAAAGTAGAAAGAATTATTCAATTAATGATGAGGTTAAGAGAAAGTCAGACTTAAGAGTTACTACAAGATGTACCAGCAAGATATTTAACCTCTTATTTTTTTAATAGTAAAAAGACTGCTTGTTTTTTCACGGAGGGGTATTGTGTGAAATATAACCACACTGTAAAACACAGACCAGAAACCAGACTCGAACACGAGAGTACCCTTTCCGGGAGCTCAATAGTTACCCATTGCACCGGTGAGGATCTTGCATCTCCTTTCTCTCAGCGGCTTTTACGATGTTCTTTGTGTGCCAATCGCAAACGTTGCCCATTTAGAATGTGTTCGCTTGGGGATGAAACGATTGAAAAATCTAGCGCACTTTATTGTTCCCATTATACAATTTGCGGGAGCACAGGTTATGTAGATGGATCTTCAAACGAAAAAAGTTTCACGTTGGAATAGGTTTAATTTTTAAGTTTAGGAAGGACAAACCAACGTTAAAAAGAAAACGATGCATAATTGAGACTCTGAAATACTGTTGTGAAAGCAGCGGAGTACCCAAGAATTGTTTGTTAAACAGCATTCGACGGTGTCCGAAAGGGTTAAGAAAAGCAACGGTGTTTTGAAACAGTCGAGGTCGTCGACACATCCCAATTATGATCACATGTCGTTGCATAGTTTCCAAAGGTTTGCTTCATAATTCGGGGTAGTCGAGAGTCTGCCATAACAAATATTTCCCAGTAATTAGACTGTTTGTTCAATTATTATAGCCAGATAGCTTGCTCATTTGAGAGTTACTCTGCACCCACAAGTTGACTACGTCGTCCTACGAGGAATCGTAAGGGTGAAGCCCATTTTTTACGTTACTGGTGACTTCGGCTACTGAAGAGGGTTAGTTCGCATGAAGTTCGCAAACAACTTGCTTACGACTTTTCGGGCCGCGCAAGCATGTTAATGGCCTCTTGTATTGAAGGGAAGTGTGCTAAATTGCGAATATATCATCTACAAGGATAAAGGAAGTTTATGACAAGTGTTAGTCGATATTCTCAGCATGAATTGTTCCGCAGAGATAAACGTCTTTTTCAGCCTTTCACTGCTTGTCATGCACTTACCGTCCACGAACGGGCGGTAAACTATATGGAGAGCGACATCATACTTTTAATATAGTTTATTATTATATTATATTATTTATTTATTTATTTACTTACTATTCATTTTGTTACTTACTTATTTATTTATTTACTTATTTATTTATTTATTTGCTTATTTGCCTATTTACTTACTTATTTATTTAAATATTTGCTTACTTACTTATTTATTTATTTACTTATTTACTTGCTTATTTATTTACGCACTTATCCTCTTATTAATTTATTTATCTACTGATTTACTTATTTACTTATTCACTTACTCATTATAGTCGCATGTGGTTGACGACTGCACCATCCCACAAGGTGGTCAACCACATGCGACTATAATCAGCTGTTCTAAACTTCCTCATTGGAAGTCACGAAAAGGCGGTGTGTTTTTTTCGAGAAGTTGTTGATCAT